GGATTTGATAAACCAAATTACCCCAATTTTCTGAATTGACCACAGAGGACAGACAATTATCCCATAACAATAATACATTACCTTCTTTTGATTATTTGTAGCTATTTTGGAATACATATTTCTTTAGAATATATTTTATGTTTAAAGATTGATTATAAAATGATACAATTATATATATTAAAATATGCACATGATATTGATAATTCTCAATTATGCATTATTGTTTAAGAATGTTTGCATGTAACAACTGCATAAGGTAATTTGTATGTGTGCATTTTCAGGTCAATGACCATGATTTGAATTCCAGTTGCATCTTTAAATAACAGAAAGCCAAGAAGTAGAGTGAACATCTGTGAATTCATAGCCAATAAAAGTAAATATGCCAGTTTGTTTTCTACTGTGAATGCAAACACATTACTTCCATTCCCCGAAATGCAAGGTTTCTCCCAATAACAAATGTCAACAGAGTAAACTTCCATAAATTTGGCATATATTTTTAAACTTTTTTTGTGGTTCTATTTCATAAAAACACTTTAGTCATATATATAGCAATATGCATTCAATTTTAAAAAACTGCACTTGAATTAGAGCGAACAATGACATATGAATATGTGATGCAGCTTTGCCTCCACCTGGTGGCAAAATGGAATAACTTTTTTTAGGAAAATATTTGAAAAAGACACAGCTTTAGAAATGTGTAAATTAAGGGGCTCCTGTAAGTTAATTTTTAAAGGGAAACTCCAGGGTAAAACCGGTACATATTTTTATGTGCAATATATAAATAATTACTTAAAAATAGTGCAACAAAATACATGTACAGCTGAATTGCGGTTTAGTTTGTCTGCCTGCTGTTACTTCTATCAAACATCAGGAAGAGGCCACCAATCAGTAGCAGATCATTATGGCCAAATGAGGTCTAGCCTTATCCAATAACCCCCTGTTTGCTAAGTAGTTTGTTCCCAAAGAGCAGTTCCACTCATCATCTCTAGGACTAGTGGAACCAATCTGTAATCGGATAGCAGCCACACCAAACCGACTATCATTTTAAACATAGCCTGCCTCACTGTTTAGTGTATAGCTTTCCTATACACAATCTACCCCCAACTCATCCTGCCAATCATAGTTAGCCCTCCACACAGAGTCACCCTGTAACACTCACTCTGTCAGAGTCACCATATCACATTCTTTGTGTCACACTCAACCTCCACAGTCACTCTGCCACTCACCCTGTCACAGTCACTCCCCACACTAAACCTGTCTCATTCACTCTGTAACATTCAATCTCAAACATATTAATTCACCCTCCTACAATGGCATCCCAACCCAAGACAGGAACCTCATACATACACAACCTTCACAACTCAGTCTCACATAATTTATATTGTTTATTCACACTTTTGCTATATTTGTGGTAAACTCCAAGGATTCGTTCACTATGTTGAAAGTAGGCACAACTGTGATGAGTTTTTTGGTCACTTTTAACAAACGTGGTGTTATATAGTGTCCAGCACTCAGTGCTAATAAAGTTTTTTTGTGCGTTCAAAATTGACTGCGCATGCGCGCCGACGATTTCCCGATAGCAACTGGTCTATATGGGTACCCGTAGCTGAACAGAAATCTGTGTCGGTGTGCGCATGCGTAAAGACGTCGTTTTGGCGCGAAGACAGAAGATCTTTGAGGATTTAAAAGAGAGAAAGCCGGCGAAAGAAACAGCATTCACAGCTCCTGAGGAAGTCCTGAAAAGCGCGGGACGAAACGTGTTGAGCCTGAGATTCGAAAGACAGCAGTCCAGAGACAGTTCTTTCACCTCCACCTTTGTGTCGAGAGCTGCAAGTATTTCCAGCCCTAGGAGTCGCGACCTAGGGCTATGTGTAGTATCCTTATACTTGCTAGCTAGTGGTTGGTGTTTGTTTATAACTGGTCTTACAATTGCACTGCTTTATTTGTTTTTATATTTTGTATATTAAATTTTGGATTTTCAATTATAAATCCTCTTGTCATTAGTATTTAGCGCCCTCAATAGGGGAGACTTGCACCCTCCCCTTTCTTTTATCTTGCACTTTAAAACCACAAGCAGGCCCCACCATACACATAACATGCTGCAAGCAGTTTCCTCACACACACAGATACACTTGTCTATAGACACACACACCAACACAGATATACATTCCAGACACAGTGATATGTGCACGTATGCACAGATATATACTCATAGATGCACAAGGATACTCACTGCCAGACACACACACTCCAAAGAATCAAAGAGGCAACATGGTTGCAATGTAAAGACAATATGGTATGTGCAATGTTATTGTAATGAGGTATCATACTGTAACGAAAAATACATTTAAACATTAACCCTCAAGGACCGAGTCAATTGTATACGTTCTGATCAAAACAAAACATAAACAAAACCTGGAATTTGCACTGGATGTTGGTATAACGATAATTTACCTCATTCATAGTAAGTGCACCCACACTTTTTATATATAATTTTGTTCAGGAGAAACTGGACTTTCATTTCACATCAAATATTTATGAAGATAATAAAACTATGGTGAGTGCACCTAAAAATAAGGAGATGTCTATCAAGTAATAAATAATATTTAATAATACAATACAAGTGATGATTAATTAATTGATAAAATCCATAAGGTGACAAAAGATAATAATAAACTGATAAGTAATCAGCAATCTCCTAACAACGCAGTTCTGGGTAAATAACAATATATATATAGAGATGTTACAAGTAGCAGTGTTCAGGATACTGCTGCCATAGAACAAACTAATGTGTAAAAAACTGTAACACTCAAATTTAAATGTGGTACCACAGAAAATAATAAAATACAGATGAATACACTCAAGATGTATTAGCATACTCCAAATTCTAATGCCGTATAAAAAACAACTAAAACCAGAGTGAATTAATGGGAGGGGTCAAGCTAGAGCATAGAAATATCATGGACAGGATCTAAATATATTTAGATAGATAAATAGATAGATAGATAGATAGATAGATAGATATAAAATAAGCATAGAAAGTGGGAGAAAAAAAAACCAAGAGGAGAATAGTAGTAAAATAAAGAGTAAAAGAATAGTGGAAGCATAAAATGCAATAAAAATCAAGCTACTTGCAGAACAGCGTTCAATTAATGGACATAGAAAAATGTATAATAAACAAGCTAGCACACAAAAGAGTTAGCACAAAAAAGTCAGAGTCAATGATGTAAGCGGTGGGGGCCCCCCTTAATAAATAGTTTGTGCTGTAAAAAGTATGCTTGATAAATAGTTTGTGCTGTAAAAAGTATGCTTAGACAAAAATAATAAAGCTGGAGAAAAAAAAAGGAAACAAACAAACAAACAAAAAAAAACAGTCAGTGTAAAATCAATGAGATGAGCCCAGCGAGCTCAACCCCTCGTACCTGTATCAAATGGCCGTGACATCCAATGGAAGGTGTATGTAGGATGAAAAGAGCTGATGTCTTTCTTCACAGGGGGAGCACAGCTGACTGGGACCACGTGGTAAGCCGCGGCCGGTAACTTCACAAAAGGCCGCGGCAAGCAAATCTGGAACAGTGTCGAGGTGCTGATAAAAAATCCTAGTGGCACTGTGTGGAGATCAATTTAACTGGGAATGCCATAATACTGTTATATTTGTGTTCAGTGATGTCTTACGAATACAACAGTACCCCCATGTACAGGTTTTATGGTGTTTTAAAAAGTTACAGGGTCAGTTATAGGGCTTGCCCAATTCATTTTTTATACATTGAAATTTGCCTGATTGGTTATGGTACGTTTGAGACTGTATGGCATCCCAGGAATTGGATTTACCCCCTTAATGGCATACCATTTGCAAAAGTAGACAACCCAGGACATTCAAAAATCCTAGCCAAAGTAAGATTTCCTATTTTGTTTTTGCATTTTTTACACAAAAGCTGCGCTTTTACTGATGATATCTTCATCATTACAAGTTTTAGTGTTCTAAAACACTCATATTTGTGTACAACAAAGTCTCATGAGTATCCCATATGTAGAGGTTTGATGGTGTTTTGGAAAGTTACAGGGTGACTGGGTTGTCAGGCAGGTCCCTTGAATTATAATTAATAGAATGACTTAATTATGTCAAAATAGTAGATAAATATTCACGTCGAATATATATATATATATATATATTTACATACATATATTAACAACGAAATGTTCATGAGTGGTTCACTGACTTTGCTCCTCTTCCTGTATAATATATTATTTTAATGTGTGATGTTAACCTTTTTTTTAAATTTTCAGGCATTAGGGGTACTGCCTGAACACTAAATCAGTCCCCCTGCAAGCAGTCTCATAGACTACTTTGCGGCCATGGGATTGCGACGTCTGTCGCGATCACATGGCCCTGGAAGGCCGAAATGGAAGCAAACGGATTACTTGTCTTCTGAGGCAGTCCCCCCAGATTAGGATCGCCGTGGATCACCAGTCCAGATAAGTTTGCAGGAACAGGGGAGCACATGATTGTTAGGGCGTACAATGCCACCCTAACTGTGTTTAGGCTCAGTAAATGTGGGGCGGCATAGTACGCCCTAACCATGTTAAGGGGTTAAACAATACTTTCCAGGATATCCAAAATCCTATTTTTTTGTTTTGCAAACCACTTGGTAGTAAAGGGATTAACCCCTTAAGGATGGCGGGCGCTCT